GTCAGTCTTCTTCACAATTGTACTAGTATGTTTGAGCTAAATTTTTCCCATTTGTGTACAAAAAAAAAAAAAAGTACTATAATGGTCCCTGAATAAGGATGATCCCAGCTCATGTTCCAGAAAGAAGAAAAGCGAATGCAGCCCCGGCAGAGTTGCTTTCCAAAGATCTGCCATCTTGCAATAATGATATAATATTCTTGATCCAATCTTAAAATCAAGATTCAAAGCTATAAGGATTATTCCAAAATATGCTTTGCTTTTGCATATAAAATATGTCCCTGATTTGGCCTTACATTTAGTGTTTATGAATACTAGAGTAATGGCTTAATTAGTATATCTGCTAACTTAAATTGCAGGTTTTATTATAGAACATACTTTTCTGTGGAGGAAATGGGAAGTGAGGGAAGCAGTAAGCTCAAATGCTTCCAGATTTTGTAATAAAATGCTGATTCTTTTTATAGAGAATAACTTTGACTCCTTGATTTTTTAAAATGAATTGCTTCATTTATAAAAGTGAAAAGAAGAGTAGCAAATACTATCTATTGAGCACTTATGTGCACAGTTGTGCAGGTTGTGATTGCACAAGGGCGCCAACACACCTAACGGGGTGTGGTTCACATTGTAGACATCATTATTGACATATTTATTAAGAAAATTTTCCAGCAGATGGCAGTAAAGTGTCTTGCTCAAACAAAAATAGAATATTATAATTTCTACCAAATGGAAGTAAAGTGTCTTGAGGACTGTATACCTTTTTCTATGTACATAAAAGCATCATATAGACTAATGGTGGCACCGCTTACTAAGTTCCAAGACCTATGCTCACTCACCCTTGCTTAATCCTCAGGATCCAATGAAATGGGTGCTATTAGGAACTTGCCAAAAGCCACTGAGTCAGGTTGTAGTAGTTTTGAGATTCCAATGTGGGTCTGTAATTTTAGAGTCTGTCCTCTTTTGCACTAACCGATGATATTTCAGAAAACTATGGCCTTGGGATTTAAGGAGACTTGACCATAGAGAGCCTTGTTGCCCTAATGCTCAGCGCAGCCTGCCGCCTGTTCTACTATGTGCTTACCACAGGGCTGGGTGCCATTAGGGACTGAAGAGCAGGGCACATATCACTCATCCCAGAAAAAGGTCATACTTGAGTTAGCAAAGAAAAAAATTGAGAATGATGACATTCTTTTTGGCATTTTAATTACATTTGTATGATTTAAACTACACATGCCACAGAAATTCAAAAAACAGAGAACCCAATATAAGTTATAATAGTTCTCAAAGAATTGAAATTTTTATATAAAAAATACATTAGTACCACCAGTAATGCATAATGTTTATATTTTAGTATAAATTTTAGCAAGATTGCATTGCCACAAGTTCTATATGCATGTGAAAAGCTTTTTTAAAATGTATATTTATATCAAATAGCCTTGCAAAATGATATATTAGTATAATATTCTTGATACAATGCTGTAAAAATGATAAGCCATAAATAGCACTCAGTTTAAAATCTCTATAGCAAATACTAGTCCATCATTAATAAAAAGCAAGCCATTTATAAATATTTTACATTAATCCCTAAATTATCATTGAGGATTCCTTTTCCCTAAACCCACTATAATAAACAAAAAAGTGAAAACTCCATCTTCTGTGAAACAAACTGCTGTAACTTTTACTTTTTATTTTAAAGTAGCATGTATAGCATGAATACACCTTTCTAAAAGTTTTTCTATCTGTGCAAAGACTCAAAGATGAAGTTGAAATTATATTAACTTGTAAATGACAATTATTATCTGGGTTGTGGGATTTGGAGTGCTGCTTTTGCCTCTTTATTTATCTTTTCATATATCCTAAATTTAAAAAAACAAACGTATTGATTTTTACAAACAATAAAACTCACCATTCTTTGAAGCAATTATCACTGAATATGTATCTAATGTTATGGCCTACCAAGACCTCTTAAGAACAAAACATAAGTATTTGTTATTAAAAAAATAATTTTATAGACAAATCAAATTTTAAAAGTCCAAAGTCCCTTCAACAACTGGTAAAATGTAATAGTTACAGTTAAGGCTGTCATTTGATCTGTTTAATCTCTGAAACAGAATAGCTACAAATCAATATTTTCTAGGCAGTGAGTTTTGTGGTCAATAAGCCAGAGTATACACAAGTCACATTTGCTAGCACCTAGTTTAATCAAAGGGTTGGCAATTTGAAAACACAACAGACAAATCCTTCATTCTTTCAAGGTCACTCTCTAAACTTGACATCTTGGATTGGAGATGGCCTCACCCAGGAATTTAAGGTCAGGGTTTATGAACGTAAGGAAAGGGCTGACAATTTGAAAGCACAACAGACAAATCCTTCATTCTTTCAAGGTTAGTTTTTAAACTTGACATCTTGGATGGGAGATGGCCTCACCCAGGAATTTAAGGTCAAGGTTTATGTTAAGCAGAACCTCAAATCAAGTTTAGAAACAAGCAAAGTTTTAATCCTTTCTTTAAGGGGGTAGTTTGAGAGGAAAATGTTAGAAAAAGAGGTCAACTTCCTGTAAATATGAGGTTGTCATTTGTTTTTTATACTAAATGAAATATACCTCCTGTTTTGTGTTCAGACTCTTGTGCCTATTTTACTCCCTATGTGCAGGCAAATGTGTTTATATTAGAAAACTCCATGAGGGCAGGAAATGTAGTTTTTCTTTATCATAAATCATCTGGTATAAACTTCATTTATCTGAGAGTATGGGACCTGGTCTGCCCAATTGCTTGAATTTTGGCCCAAATGCATAATCTGTCATTGACTGTCATTGCCCATTAAGCCATTAAGCACATATTAGCTTACACAGAATGGGACAGTTTACAAAATTGATACATGCATTGATTACTTTTAAGAAGCATCTTATTAGTAAGCTGAGCAAGTATTATCACACTTGCTAATTAACAGCTATGGCTAGAACCCAGATTTTCAACATCTCTTTCAGGCACCACTGATTGGCATCTATTTCCACAACAGGGGAACTGAATGAATGAGGGTCAACCAACAATGAGATTCAACCAATTCTATTCCTCAAGTCCTAACAATAAATTGTTCAGCTAAATGAGATAGCCTAATGATAGCTGAATTTTAAATAAACTGCAAAGGGAGGAGGACAGTGGGGACAGGGGTTGGTCTGCCCAGAGAACTGGAATTGTCAAAATTCAAACCATGGGTGAAAATACCAAAGAACACCATCAATGAGAGATACTATTTTTGCTCTAGCACAAATTAAAAAAGAAAAGGTCTTATAATAGACTTTTCAAAAAATAAAGTTTCGTGTGCTTTAAATGGTTTTTGGTCAGGAAATATGTCATAGTATAAATTTTCCAAATTGCATATGATTGAATTATAGCACCCATCCACATACTATCAAATATTTATTACTTTCTTAGTTTAATACTCTTTGATAAGCATAAAATGATGTGTGAAGTGAAAACCTTGGAGAACAACATACAATGGCAGGAAAGACATAATAGGAAATTCACCATTCCCATAACATCAGAAGATGTTTTATAGTATAGACCAGTTTATTCATGACTGACATGGTCATCTAAAAAAAAAAAAGTTCTTACTGTAAAAAAGGTAAAAACTATCTTTCTTTTCTCAGATTCTTAAAAGGTTCATAAGACAAGCAGGCAGACAGGAAAGAGGAACAAGACTTACAAAATTGGGAATAAAAATTATATTTTCTTATGCAATATGTCAAAGAAATTACTGCAAGGAAAGAAAATAGGTCCAAGGAATATTAAAAAGTCAAACTGCAAGCATCCTTGGCTGATATATGGAAAAAGAAATGGGACAATCTTGGATATAATGATATTTTAAAAGATGCAAAATCTACACACTCTGAGGAAATAATGATAAATAGATTAAAAAAACACATACATACCAACAACCAAAGATTCCTAAATCTAATCACATATTCTTCAAGGTTAGAAACACACTAGATAGAAAAAATGAAAGAGACAATTCTAATGCTGTTTATTTAAATTTTATTGAAACCTCTTTTTACCCTATTTTAGCTCCCCAAGTGAATGAAGATGCATGTAAAGCCTGAGCCATATGGTATTCTTTTCAAATTATGGCTTAAATCTCTGAAAATGGGACTTTCTGTCCTAGCTTCACTTTCACTTGGGGAAGTAAAAAAGCAGGCATGTAAACTGGGTCATCAGTATTCCCTTGTCCTTCACTTGAGAAAGTGAAGCCAGGACAAGGGAATACTGATGACCCAGTTTACATGCCTGTTTCCTTGTTTATTCATGAGCAGAGCTAGACTAGGAAACCTTTCCATGAAAGTGGAAGGCATGTCTGCAGTAGCATAATGCTTAATGTTGACTTCTATCCTCTCCAGCCCTATGAAAGGTAAAAAATCTTTAGGTGGGGTAAGTAAAGAGCTTAGAAAACTTGGGATGAAAAAAGAGTTTCCTAAGTTCTTAAGGTTACCTATGTCCTGTTATTCATAGAATCTATGTGTTCAGTTAATGCATTTATATCACCAGCATTAGTCTCTGTACTCCTGTCATCAGTTTCCTCTTTCAGCTATTTCCCTTCTATAACCTACTGTGGAACTTGGAAGGCCAGTTTTCCTTGCCTATGCCTATGAAGAATTGGCCAAAATAACTATGAATTTTTGAGTACCATCTTTCATCTGTATCTAGTTGGAGGTGTATGTGTATGTATGGTTTTTAATAGACAATAACAAATGCCTTAAAATTCTTTAATGTCTTTTTAAATCTACTGTTAGAGTAAATCCTGTGTAAATGACTATGACTAGCTTCTCATATATTCAAGCCACTAATTTTTAAAGTACTATACAAATTTAGAAAATATTATCTAAAGATATTTCACATGGAATAAATCTAGAATGGACTTAGTTCAAATATTTAACAACTGTTATTTATTTAACAACTGTTATTTATAAATACTTTGCTGCGAATTTGAGCATAAAACATAACTCTGCTCGGTTAGTAAGTGGTTGATAGCTGTCTGCTCTCTGCAAAAGTATATCTGAAGGCCCAGCAGGGCGTGGCTCAGTGGTTGAGTGTTGACCTAGGATTCAGGACATCGAGGTTCGATTCCCGGTAAGGGCACGTGCCTGGGTTGCAGGCTTGATCCCCACTCGGGGGCATGCAGGAGGCAGCCCATCAATGATGACTCTCTCATCATTGATGTTTCTATCTCTCTTCCTCTCTCTGAAATCAATAAAGGTTTTGTGTTTTTTTTTTTAAAGTGTATCTGAATATCCAGGAGAATAATATCTGAAAAATAGAATGTTTTATTAGATACTGGTGAAAAGATTCAGCCCAGTAGGTACAAAAGATTAATATAAGGTGTTTTATCCGAAATAATTTTATGAATGAAACTTCTGAATAATAATGCTTTGTGCACAAGGATGGAGACTATCAAGAGAAAGAACACCAACTCACAAGACTGTGCTAGATAATTAACAAAACATTTAAGGGGTAGCAATTCAGTGACAAAGAATGGATATTTTCAAAGCAAGATACTTGGATTCAGTGGTAGTATTTTATTAAAATGAATTTGTTTTTATTTATTGTTTACTTTTTTAATCCTCACCAGAGGGCATGTTTTTACTGATTTGAGAGAGAGAAAAAGGAAGAGAGAGAGAGGGAGAAACATTGATCTAACCTGCAAGTTAGGTATGGGCCTTGACCAGAATCAAACCTGCCACCTTTTAGTGTATAGGACAATGCTCCTACCAACTGAGCCACACCAGCTAGGGTGAAAGCAACTATGCTTTTATCATGTTGTGTGATTGATGTTGCTTTAATGAACATAGCTAATAGATTTTGTTTCATCAGTTAGACAACACACTAATCAACTTCTGCATTCTGATTGTTTCAGAGGTTATTCTCAATGTATGTTTTAATCAGGCCTGGTTACCCATAAATACAAAAATTTCTGGGACCATACTTCATATTAAAGAATTATTTCATATGTGGTTTACAAATATTCCATCATACAAACCTAGGAAATTAATCTATTTTATTTCTAGGGCATCTACAGTACTATAAATTTATATTTATATATAAAACATTTTATGAAAGATTTAGTATAAAAGTATTAAATATATTGATTAATGTGGGATGCTTCATACACCATAAAAAATTTTACATTCATATAAAAATATGTCAAATATAATTTGGCAGACATTCTAGAATATAATAAATGACTAAAAAAATCTAAAGTATAATTTCAAAATTTCCAAAACATTTGAAATAAGTAAGCCTCCTAAGGTGTTTTTTCCAGATAAAGCCTAATGTTCGAGACTTGCTTTGTCCTTTGTTAGTTATCCTTATCCTCAGATACTTGACTTATAAACTCATAATTGAAAGTATACTAATATCTTCCACAATTTGTCAAGTTATAGTGGACAAAACAGCTGTATTTTCTTAATAGTGTGCTTTTATAGGTAGCCATAGTTAAACAGATATATACAAACATAAAAAGCTACCTTAAAGAATGTTTTTCCCCTAAAGACCACCTACTCTAGGCAAAATTGTCCTTCAACAGATCTCTTCAAAGTATTCATATCCTGAGGAAGTCACAACTGTTTCTCTCTCTATCTGAGTTAGTCACAAATTTTAAAGTGGCCCTCACCTTCCGAGGCTTTATAAATATGCCAGACACAAGATAGGTATTTTTTTAAACGTAAATGGCAAGAAGTATATATTTTTTAAAAACACCCAAACTTTAAAAATTGTGCTGCTATGTGGTAGGTGCTAACCACATACTTCTCATAAAGGAATCAAAATGAACTTCCAAAAAAAACCTGGAAATTTATTTTCTCAGCCCGTCAGTCACTGCTATCCCAATTTACCTCTATATGACCTTTAAGAATATAAGTGAATTAACCTTAATCTAGACCCATGTAGAATTTGGGTTATTGCACCCATTCTAAATCTTTCCCCTAACTACAAAATTAAAGGCATACTCAATGCCCTTAACAATGCCCAGAAGGCCATCTGGGACCCAGCAACTAAATACCTCTCCAGCTTCCTTTACGATTAATCTCTATCCCAGATTTTGTCAATAACCTCAAAGGGTACGCGCCAGGCCATTTCTTGCCTTGCCCTGCTGTTTCCTCTCCTAGGATTCCCTTCCGCCTTCCACGCACCTCCCCGCATTTCCTTGGCTAACTCCTGCTTATCTTTTAAGAGTCAGCTCAGGTGTTACTTCCTTTCAGAAACTTTCTCTGGGACACCCCTATTCCCTTATCCCAGGGAGAGTTAGGTACTTTTCTTCTTTCATTGTATTGTTAAACCCCATGCACTTGCCACATAATATTTTAATTATCAGTCTATGTGTCTGTAGCACATAAATGTCATGAAGGCAGAAACTGCACCTTTACTCATTCATTTATTTCTCTAGTGCCTGGTGCCTAATAGATGCTCAATTAATGTTCAGCAAATGAATGAACATACTAAGGAGTAGGCAGGAAAAGGAAACTGAGATGTTACAAGGACAGAAGAAGAATCAGGAAAGCAAGGAATCAGCAAATCCAAGAGGTTTTAAGAAGCAACCAGAGAGAACTACAGAAGGTCCCTGGGTTTGACAGCGGGTCTGTGTGTGGCGAAGACAGAGCCAGTGTGGATGAGGAAATTTACTCTGCGTGACCACAGCTGACCAGGCGAGGAAGGCCGGGAAGGGGTTCACAGTGTGGGGATCGCCCTCTTCCTTGGTGGTCGCTACTATTCCCTCTGACAGAAACACCCTTTCTTTGCCCGCCATTCCTACCCTTTCTTCAAAGCCAGCTTTTTTCACTTGTACTTGCTCCACTGAGTCCCCCGGGAGCACCTCGGTGCACCCACTTATTCCTTCTTTCTAAGATGAGTTTATTAGGAAGTCTTGCACACTGATTTTCTAACTGTTTCTTCTGGTCTCCCCAGCTAAGTTATAAAGTTCCTTGCAGAAGAACTTTGTCTTATTCTTTTTTGTCTCTCTCAGAGCTTTAAGGGTACATGTAGGCATTTAACAAATACTTAAAACTGCAAAAGGAGTGGGCTAATAGAATGTTAATACACATCACAATAAAAGACAATTAAAGATTACACTAGTATATGTTTTTAAAGAATGGAGTGGTCTGCAGATATATCAGTTTTAAATATTTTTTTGGCCTGGAGAGTTTTCATCCCTCCTATGTCTGTCCCCAGCCACAGTAAACTACTATCTTTTTACCTCCCGCCTGGCTTTCCCTCCTCTTTCTAGTGCTCTGGTANCTATCTTTTTACTTCCTGCCTGGCTTTCCCTCCTCTTTCTAGTGCTCTGGTACTTTTAGATTTAAGAAAACACAAAATTCTGCCTGAAGCAAATATTCCCAAAGGCATATTTATAAGAGTACATAATATGAGGTATGTATTTTATCTTGGCTATCCAACCTTCCACAAATCTCACTGATTTATTTTTACTTTAGTGGCTGATTTTTAACTCTTAATTCAGGCTAGTATTCATTTTTATAGCAAGTTCAGTAAAACTAGAACCTCAGTAGTCTAAAAGATTAGACTAGAAAATGAAACATTCAGAAATAATGTCAACTACTCATTTTCAAGAGCTGATGACTGTCTATAGATGATCCACTCAGCTCCTTACTGCCCCCATCGCACTATAGCTGGTCAGTTTCTTACTTAGAACTGGGGGTGGGGTGGGGTGGGGTGTAATTATTTTATTTGAGTGTTCCTTTGAAGGAGGAAGACAGAACATAGGTATTTGATGCACAGAATTGTATTCTGAGGTAACTTTAGCAATGGAAAACCTACTGTCCTGTGGCTATGGTGCCTGAGGTTCAGCCAAACTGTTGGAGATCTGGAAAGAGTTCAGAGAAGTGAAGGCTGTTAGTAGCTTTCAGATGAGTATCTAAAAATAGACCTATTGAACTGTAGAGATTAGTTTACAAGTTATAATAACATACAGTTTTGCTCATTATTTGAAGAAGTATACAGATAGTAGTGCCTCTTTAATATAGTATTATAACTGACTATTGAAATAAATTTGACCTCCATTCCTTTTTATTAATTTTTAAATTAGTCTTAACTACTTTCATGTTTTATATCTTAAGAACAACTTCGTGTGTGTGTGTGTGTGTGTGTGTGTGTGTGTGTGTGCTGAATATGTGCCTGGGATTGACCTAACTCTCTTCATATAACATCTCATTTAACTTTACAATGACCCTATAAAGTCGGTATTCTTATTACCCCATTTTATGGGTAATCATACTAAGGTTTAGAGACATTAAGACTTTGATAACGATATTACAGCTTGTAAATGTAAATCCAGGTACCTCAATTCCACAGCCTGAGCTCAGAGCCACTATGGGATACTACTTCCACAGACCCTATTTTCTTAAATCAAAACTCCTGAGCTCAATTTAACCAGCTCTTGATAGCTTAGGGTCACACCCTGGCCATCAGTGGCTGTGGGAAGGCAGTCATTCTCTCAGCCTTTGCTATCAGTAGTCAGTCCTGCTGGCTGCTGCCCACTGCTAGCAGCTTGACCTTCCTACCTTACTACTTTCAATCTGCAATAATCTAAGAAATACGACCACTTCATTTGTTAAAACTGTTCGTAAAGAGTCAATGAACTTCAAATGACTGTCTGAGGGCATCTCTGGTAAGTCCATGAACTTTGTGGAGAATATTTCAGTGGCTCTGAGACCTTTCTCCTTTTCTTTCCCTTTTTTAAGAATTTTATTGATTTTTAGAGAGAGAGGAAAGGAGAGGGAGAGAGAAACGTCAATGTATGAGAGTGAAACATCAGTTGGCTGCCTCCTGTACGCCCCCTACCAGGGATGGACCCTGAAACCCTGGCATGTGCCCTGACCAGAATCAAACCAGCAACCTTTCTGTGCATGGGATGATAATTGACCAACAGAGCCACACTGGCCAGGGCTCTCCTTTTCTTTATAAGATCTTTGCAGTGTTCCCAGATGAGTGACGCTAACACACAGCAGGAAAATTACTAAAAGTTACTTATCAATATTACTAAAAGTTACTTATCAATACAAATTATGTATATTATGAGGTTTTTATGTGTTGACACACTATTTACTTCCCAAGAACACTAAAAAGAGGGTACAAAGATTGTGAAGAAGAAGGAAGTGTGAATTATGTATGTGTGAATTTTATTCATCTATGTTACCATCCCTGTCAATACAATCAGTGAGAGTTAAGTAGGAGAACCCTCCCCCCATCTTATGGAAGAAAACATTGACCACCAGAAAAAACAAGTTACTTCATTTTCATTTTCTTCGCCCACTTGCAGGCTAAGAGCTCTTCTTACCTTACTGAACTGTCTGACCACATGCTTCAGGATATTGGGAGGAACATCATAGAGAAATGGCTCAAGGGCTGGTAAATAAATAGGCACATTTTTTTAAAGATCCTCTTTATGGCTTTTTTACTATATTGAAATACAAAGTAAAATACATACCAAAGTAAGCAATCAATGGAAGCTTGACAAAAATTCGTGTCTCATATTCCTGGAATTTGAAAATAAAATCAATTTCCTGGTCTAAGCTGCAGTTGCTTCATTTTTTAAAAAGAGTTGTCAGAAAAACTTCTTTCATTGGTTTTATCATAGAATAAATACCCTGCCAGTTGTCTTTATGCCAAATTTTAAAACATATAGTGTATTATTGAGCTCTTAAAATACCTATGAGGAAATTAAAATTAGAAATCATAATGCTATAAACTAAAAATTAATATGTATTTTATTAGAGTAAAAATTTGTATATGTGAAACTGTGAGATAACTAGTCTCCTATTTCTTCCAATCAAAAAATGAGAAAATGCCTAGTTTAGTGTAGAAAGCCATTATCAGGCATTCCATGTTCTCTAAAAGGCCTCATGGCTTATAGGTATGTAGTCAGAAATATCCTACTGTGTGCATTATTCAATGAGCATTTGCAGATGTGCTGCTATCATGGGTAGAAATTGCCCCACTCACAGACAGGAGCACAACAGAATCTCCTGAACTGTCGAGGAAAGCTCAACAATAGCGAGTGTATCATCCACAAGCAACAGAATAGGAACCCGCAGGTACCTTTCCCACCATCCCCCAGCACTCTGTATTTCATGGGGACACCATGTGGTGCTGCCCCCCTGCCAAAAGTGTGGCTGAAGAAGAACTCTGATGTGACTGGAGCACATCCCTGCAGCCAGCTCTAAGGCCAGGGCTGGTTGTGATTCTGTTTCCTTGTATTCAAGTCAGCCCCCTTCACTTTGGAAGGCTTCACAATTGGGTTTATCTACAGCTGTTTCCACTAGAAATCCACATCTGCTTGTTTGTACAGGGATGGGGAAAAATAATTTTAAGATTAAAATTTGTTTTCTGTTCACATATATTCTACAAGTAAATTCTTTCCAAAGATATGTCTATTCACTTTTGGAGGTTTATGAGAACTCCTTACCAAAAAAGTTCCAATAAGTTAGCTTTGAAAATATTAATACATATAAAATAAATCATAAAATGTCAACCTACATATATAATTTATAAATACAATAATATACCAATAAGTTTATATAACACACAAAATATGTGTAAAACCACTAAATGAAGAAAATATGAAAATCTTTTCTCAAGAAAAGAAAATAAAGTTAATTTTTACACATTTACATATCCCTTTAGGAAGAATGCTATTTTATGTAAATTTAAAATAACTTTCAACACAATTTTCTAACAAACAAAATTATAGAAAAATGAAAAAAAAAGCAAACTAAAGGGCCCCCTAAATGGAGTAACCATTGGTTAATGGTAAAGCACTTTCTTGAATAGAAGTCATCTTTCCACTCTTTTCTAGGATTATTTTACAGAGCATGAGGGGAAATAAAAACTCTGTCATGTTAGAATCCAATCTGGTGCTTTTTCAAAGTACTATCCTTTAAAAATACTATCCTTTTCACATTAAATTGCCTTGGCACCTTTGTGAAAAATCAATTGACCAAAAAGGAGTCTATTTCAGATTCTCAATTCAATTACACTGATATATAGAGTATCCCCCCAAAATGTATACACACTTTGAATTATTATAAAGTCAGTATTTATTAACATACAGTTCATTTTTAAAATTGAAAAGAATCTACAGAAATGAATAATTTTTTTTGTCAATGCCTGTTTTTAAACTGATGACTCTTCTGGTCCAGGCACTACTGATAACGCGAAGCAATGGAATTGCAAACATCAGGAATCATTTCAGTCGGTATTTGTGCATCCTCAATTCATCAACTGTTGCGAGTTTTGTTATCAGCTGTACACACATTTTGAATAATTATAAAGTCAGTGTTTGTACTTCAACTCTGTTTTCAAATTTCCAGTAGCATTTTAGGATGAATTTCCTTTGTTCAAAGCTTAGTCTGACTGAAAAGAAAGAAATATCAATTGAGCTATCAGCTGTTAAAGTGTGTTTACATGTTTTTGGGACACCTTGTATATGTCTTTCAGTAAGTACCACACTATCTTTATTATTGTAACTTTGTAGTGAGTTTTGAAATTAGGCAATGAAAAATCTTTTTCAAGATTGTTTTGGATAGTCTGGTCCTTCACATTTCTATGTGAATTTTAGAGCTAGCTTTTCAATGGGGGTGGGGAATGGGGACAGGGAAGTCAGCTGGGATTTTTGATAGAGATTGTGTTGAATATATAGATCAACTTGGGGAGTATTGTCATCTAACAATAGTGAATATTCCAATCTATGAACATAGAATGTCTCTCCATTCACATTTCTTTAAATTTTTTCAGCAATGTTTTGTAGTTTTCAGTATAGAAGTCTTATATTTCTTTTGTTAAATTTATTCCTAAGTAGTATATTCTTTTTGATGCTATTATGTATAAAACTATTTTCTTAATTTTATATTTGAATTGATCATTATTAGCATATGAAAATAAAATTTTTATATTTTGATCTCATATCCTATAACTTTCTCTAACTCTTATTATTTCTAGTATTTGTGTGTGTATGTGTGTGTATTCCATAAGATTTGCTACATACAAGATCATGTCATATGATGGATTTAAAATTTGGTAGCCTTTAGGTAAATGTGCCTTATATTAGGTTATTTATGGCTGTGAGCAAAATAAAATAGTTTTTGCAACTTCATACTGTGATTGGAAAAAATTATATGAGGTTAACAAACCCTTTTATTTCTTTAAGTGAGTAAGTCAAGTAATATCTTACTTTGAACTAATGAATAACAGATTATACATTTTGCTAATTGTCACTGCATTTAGTAGCTAGTGTTTACCCTTAGTCATACATAATATATGATGACGTCAGAGAAGGAGTCATGAGCTATCTATTTAGGGCAGCCTGAATTTGAGCCTGGTTTTCCTATGAACTATCATAACATCTACAGTTCTATATTCATTCATTTTTCTGTCATTTCTTAAAACTGACTCCTGTCCACACTGATCAAAGCTGTTGTAGCCTTGGCCGGTATGGCTCAGTTGGTTAAGCATCATCCTGTGCCCTGAAGGTTGCTGGTTTGATTCCTGGTCAGGCCACATGCTTGGGTTGTGGGCTTGATCCCAGGTAGGAGGCACACATGAAGCAGCAGATAGATGTTTCTCTCTCACATCGATGTTTCTCTCTCCCTCTCCCTCTCTCTTCTTCTCTCTCTAAAAATTAAAATAAAAAAGAATAGTAATTAACAAAATAAAATTATCAATACAAATACTTGATACCATTTCAAATGTTTTTCGCAAAAAAATGAGAAATAATAAAAATTATTCATTATTGCTTTGCTTAATGGATGGTTTTTAACAAAAACTGTTTAAAATAAAAAAGTGTTTCTTATTTAAAAGTTAATTTTGTTCTGAAAGTATTCTGGCACAAAGGGTAATAATTAAAGGGGACCTTAAAAATAAATTTTATGACTTTGGGTTAGGCAAAGTCTTCTTAGGTATGGCTCCAACTGCACAAGCAACAAGAGAAAAAAAATATATAAATTAAATTTTATTAAAATTTAAAAGTGTTTTTGCTTCAAATGATACCATCAAGAAAGTAATAACAAAATCCACAGATTGGAGAAAAAATACTTGTAAACCATACATCTGATAAGTGCTTGTATCCAGAATATATGAAGAACCCTTACAACTCAAGAATAGCTTAATTTTTAAATGAGCAAATGGTCTGATTAGATCTTTCTTCAAAGAAGATATATGAATGGCCAATAAGAAAATGAAAAGATTTTCAACATATTTAACAATCAGGGAAATACAAATCAAAACCATAATGAGATACCAATTCAGACCAATTAGGAAGGCTATAATAAAAAAACAATGATAAGTGTTGGCAAGGATGTGGAAAATTGGAATCCACATACATTGCTGATGGGAATACAAAATGGTGCTCACATTGAAAAACAATTTGGCGGTTCCTCAAAATGTTAGTTGTCATATGAGCTAGCAATTACACTACTAAGTATCTACTCAAGAGAAATAAAAACAGTCCACACAAAAACTTGTACAATAATGTTCATAACAGCATTATTCATAATAGTCAAAGAGTAAAAACAACCCAAATGTTCATCAATTTGGTAAATTGCTGGTGTGGCTCAGTGGTTGAGTGTGGACCTAGGATTCAGGCGATCGGGGTTTGATTCCCAGTCAGGGCACATGCCTGGGTTGTGGGCTTGATCCCCTGTTGGGGGTGTGCAGGAGGCAGCCGATCAATGACTCTCTCGTCATTGATGTTTCTATCTCTCTACCCCTCTCCTTTCCTCTCTCTGAAATCAGTAAAGATTTATTTTTTTAAAAAATTGGTAAATGGCTAAACAAAATGTAGTATATCAATACAATAGAATATTATTTTGCAATAAAAAGGAACTAAATATTGATATATGCTATACAAGAATGAGCCTTGAAACTTATGCTAAGTGAAAGAAGCCAGGCACAAAATGCCATATATATAATATGATTCTATTTAAACTAAATGCCCAGGAGAGACAAATACAGAAAGACAGAAAGTAAATTAATGGTTGCCTGGGGCTAGGTAGGGAAGATATGGAGTGATGGGGTGATGAAAATGTTATAAAATTAGATTGTGGTGTGGTTGTCCATTCTGAATATACTAAGAGCTAAAGAACTGTGCACTTTAAATGGTTAAATTATATGGTATATAAACCATATTTCAATAAAGCTGCTAAAAAATTAAAGGGCCAACCATCATGATAAGAACACAATAAATCAAATAATTATCTTAGTAATCATTTTATAACTAAGGTGATAGAATGAACTTATTCAAATACCAAAATTAACATAGAACATTTTAATAGGATGCCTCTAAATAAAAACAAATGAAAATGCAATTGCCTGAATATTTTAAAAATATGTGTAGAGCCCGGCCGGGCATGGCTCAGCGGTTGAGTGTCGACCTGGGATCCAGGCGATCAGGGTTCGATTCCTGGTCAGGGCAGATGCCCGGGTTGCGGCCTCTATCAATGACTCTCTCATCATTGATGTTTCTATCTCCCTCTCCTTTCCTCTCTCTGAAATCAATAAAGATACATTAAAAAATAAAAATAAAACAAACAAACCAAAAATATGTGTAGGTAAGCTTATTAAATAAAAGATGTTTTTTCAGTTTTTAACCAGGTATTTGAAATAACATAGGCACGGGCATGTAGTAAGGTTATCTGAAAACATGCAAGAAATTTCAAGGGGCTGCTCATTGGTTCTCTTGGACCGGAACCGATTAGAGAATGCTTACAGAAGTTGACAAGCCTTTGGCACAAAATAAACTTCAATATGGCCTTATAATTTGAAAGCTGCCGCAGAGTAACAAATGAGAAATATCATTAGTCCTGAAGCTCCTGCATTTTCCCTACTGAGATAGTGTCAAGTCAGACAGACTTGGACTCTCATCCAACAACTGACAGAATCCAAGAGACCTTGAGGTAGGAAAAAAGGATGATCCAGTCCCTACATGAAGAAAATATTTGGATGGACTTAAAGCCTTGGAAGATTGCTAACAGGACAATGACAGACAGAACTGAATTTAATACCCAGTGTATTTCCCGAAAGTAAATATTGTATCAAATGTAGGCCGGAAGAGCCTTAACTTCTATTAGTAAACCTAAATATTTTACTAAAACCACCTTTGTTAAAATAAAACACAATAAAAGTTATCTTACTTTTACTCCAGTGATATTTATACATCATAATATCATAATAATTCATTAAAAACCAAGTTATATAAACTTGGTAGTTTATAAAAAGTATACAGGATGGGGAAAAGTAGGTTTACAGTTGTGAGTATATGAAACACAGAATTTATTCTTGTATTATTATTTATTAATTATTGTATTATTTATTTATATTACAACTGTAAACTTACTTTCACCCACCCCTGTATAATGCTACCTAATAGACTATTTGCAAGGGTTCTCAGCTATAATTACTATTGACTCCACTATAAATTATTCATGCTCTAGCTCACACATTCCTTTATTTCCAAAACTTACAGGAAAATGAAACTGTTAAGTGCAGGAATCTGAAAGTGATAGAGACTTTTTGGGGGATATTAATAATGTATCTGTGGAAAATCTGAAAGTTGAACATAATTATATTACAGCCAGGGCAGCACAGCTTATGCCTGTAGAGACCCTGCAGAGGCCAGAGTCATTGGATCGCTAGGGGGGAGGGGCAGGAGGACGGGCTGTGGGAAGAGGGAGGAGGAGCGAAGAGTTTGGGGGACCGGGAGGGAAGAGGGGGAAAGAAAGGACAATAATGATAATGGGATAAAGAAATGCGAGGTCAAAGGAGAAATACATATATAGGTTAAAATTACATATATATATAATAAGTACACTGTCCTGGACAGCTCAAAACTGAAAATAGAATTGTGGTTTCTCAACCAGAAAGTAAAAGAATCACAGAATTTGTTAAATGGGAAAAGGCATTAGCACATTTACAATCTTATTCTTCCTACCATGCATTGCTAAAATTACAAATTGAGTCAAAATCCAACAAATCTTCACGAAACACTAAAAATTAACCACTTATTTTACTCGAAGATCCTCAGAGCTTTCTGGTGACATGTACAAAGCAAGCAGCACTGGCAGAATGTTTGTGACCGCGACAGCCCGGGCATGCTCCGGAGTGTGTCTCCCAATCTGTGCCAAGGCCCAGGCAGTAGCAGCCTTAATATGGTCTTCTGGTTCTTCTGACAAGCAGACTGACAACTGGGGTACACCCTGCAGCGTTGATCAAAAGAGCAAGTGTTACGACTCTAGAGCAGGATTAGAGCCTTCTNTGAATCTAGAGCAGGATTAGAGCCTTGCGTGTCTCTCAGACATTAGAAGAAATCATTTTGGCCTTGATCCTTTTTTCCTAGATGGTTCAATAAGTGAGCACAGCGCAGGGGCTGTCATTTTTCAAGTCAATAAAATGACTAGAACTAATTTACCTTAATTATCTGTTACAATCCAACTAAACTATCTCTGCTAGCATTTACTCCCCAAATAGAGGCATTTAACCAAACAACAGATGTCAAGATTAGTATATAGGAAAAACCAGATTCCACTGTGACAAATTTAAAATGTTTAGATTTGAAAACCTTTTATTTTCCTTTGTTAAAAAAAGTTAATTTAGAATCCTTTAAAATTGCATTTTTCACTAAGTATAATAGACCTGACAACAAAATACTATAGATTTGAAATCCAATGAATAATGTGAGCCAGAATTCTATTTAAGTAACTTTTAGATGAAATATATTCACTAAAACCTTTCCTGAACTAGTCGATAAATTCCCATTAATTTTGGTAAACTTTTAAATGATCATTTTGCCCATTTTAACATGACTGAATGTCAAAGTAGAAGTGATTATTTTTGTTACACAGATAGCACGTGATTATATTTTGCACTTTAGGATTCAGTTTTATCTAAATAAAACAGAATTAACTCAAGGGCCTCAAATACATCTGTTTCTATATCTAAGGCAGCATCAAATAGCCAAATCACATTATAATTACAGATTCTATATAGGAGTAATTTTATTACGAATTTGAAACTATAATAATTATCACCTTAATTTAGTACCACTATGGCCAATGTCACATTGTCATGTACCATAGCAAAGTTCAAGTGATCATATACACTTTTTCCCCTGTGCCTTTACATTTGATTATTAAGATCAATTTCTTGAAGAGATCTGCCATATTTCTTCATTGGCTTCTTTTTTCCAACTAAAACTGTTTGTCTGGCAATACAAAAGGTCAGACCTGTCTTCCCAATGAGGCAACTTAACAGAAAGCCTGTACTCTGGGACATATCAAAACTGCAGAAGCTGGAGGGAGCGAAGTCAGCCCCCCACCACCCCACCCTCCTAACACTGACTCACTGGCCTCAGATGTTATGAATAGTAAATGAGATAAGAAACATGCATGTGCTTGGAAAATTATAAAGTATTATTTAAATGTGAAGTGCTGCTATTAGTCCTTATGGTGCTATGTGGGAAAAAGAATGACACAGAACTGTGCATTTGCCTCAAACTGCTAGTTTCAGTTAGTTGACCTTCAACTAACTGAGAGACAAGTAGGTGGGAGAGGCCAGCAGCAACTCTGCCCTCGACCAAAGGAGGGGAGTGCCTCCTGGTTAGTTTAGGGAGGAAATAGAGAAAGCAAAAGCAGTTGCTGCTGCTTTCATCATTCTTCCTATGTGTAAGCTTTCTGATGATCCACAATGGCACCAAGAATCAAAAATCCCAGTAATATCCCCACAGTGACCCTTCAGAAAGCGGCACTACTGTTCTAGTCACTATCATAGTCTTTGGTAATAGGAGAACAAAAGGAAAAGCGTAGGATAAAAAGCGAGTAAAGCAAAGAATTATCAAGGAATAGGTAGAAAATAAAGATCTGAGGCTCTCTTTTATTCTGAGGATTAGCAAGGGATAAAAAAAATCCACACTTCTGTTTAACATACAGCAGCAGGTTTTCTATGCTGATAAGAAACCCACACGCTAGAGGGTCACTGGAGACACTGTAAGCACACAGCTTCTGAAGCATTGCTCAGATCAATATTTATGCACTCAATCAATATTTTTGAGCACCTACTATGTGTCAGGGCTACACTGTATGGTGGGTTAATACCAAGTTGTAAATTGCATGAAGCCAAATTCCTAAAGCAAAGACATAGCATCGCTCTCTGGCATGTGCTCTGAATTGCCTTCATCTAAAAAGAGAAATTAATTCATGAAAGCAGAAGGAAAGTGGATAAAAAGGGATGTCCTAGCTATTGTCATCTCCTACCCAAATGACAAGAAAGGGGAGGGTGACTACTGCACATGTAATTACACTAGTTGTCTTTAATCACAGTGTGCTTCACGTGTTTGTAAATGTACACAGTCAACCCTTCAGGATGCAAACACACTGAGTATTTCAAAACAGGTAATGCTAATACTCAGAGGTATCGATGTAAATGCTAGATATTAAGTACTGAGTAAAGCTTTAGAACTGCCTACAAAGTAAACCTTACTTCAAGCATTGCTTTCGGAAACTTACTAATAAGCCTTGAAAACAAGCTGAAAAATTCTTCAGGTTTCTTTCACTCTGGTCAGTCATATTTTATAACCTGTGGGAGAGTATTACTGTGGTTCTGTCTTAGAATATCTCACTGCAGTAACCAGAAGAAAATCAAGAACAAACCTTGCTAACGATCACTGCCATTGCCAGGTTCCCAGAATGAGCTGCCGCATAGCCCAGCATCATGATGCCAGGCAGCCTTATGTTTCCTTTGCAGGACCCAATGCAGTCAATCACGGCGGCAACTCCTCCTGCGTTAACTATCAACTGCAAAAGCTAAGGGGAAGGAAGGAGAGCTAGGTAGCTGTGACTGTAAGGACAGGATGATCTGTAAACATTACTATTGTCAAACATTTTTACTTAGACCTAAAAACACCTGGTAAAATTTGAAAAAGTATGATTTAGTGAAATTACTATACTTATTGAAATATGCAAGTACAATAATTCTATTTTGAATGTACAAATATACTCACTGTGCAGAGTTTACTCTGTGCTTCATTTTTCATGCATCAGTGGCACAACTTTTACCTCTATCTAATGGATGTCAAAACTCCCACCTAGACACTAAGCCTAGGGCTAGTTCATAACTAGCTAACTACTGAAAGCCCCAAGCACAATGTGTGAGCATGAAGCAGATTACTCATTGAATGCTGAACGACAATGTCAGACTTGAAATATCCTAGCCTAATTATTCCCCTTTGCAAACAGTGATTACTAGCTGATTACATTTCAATTATAAAAAAATTTCAAGCAAATAAAGATGTTAGGTGAAATAAAGAATGAGGACTTTCACTTTAGTGAAATGAAACTGATTAGTCAAAATATACACAGAAAAAGATACAACTGCAGAAGGCACCCAGGCTTGCTTCATTTCTATGCCTTTGGCATCTAAGAACTCAGGGCAGGAACCACCACAAAAGGGCAGCTCCTAGAGGAGTCACACTAGGCTGGGGCCTGCTGGTCTCTCCCACCTGGAACTGTACAGCTCTCACTACTCCCAGATCACCTAAATGACAAGAATGGAAAGTCTATGGTCCCCACGATCTAGAAATGGAAAGCAGGAAATGATTAAAAACTGAGATTTCTGTTTCAAACTATATAACCCAGTGGGGTTCTCAACAAGGGGCACTTTTGTCCCCTGGGAAACATTTGGCAACATATGGAGACACTTTGAATAGTCATGATGTGGAAAGGGATGCTACAGACAGGGGCCACGGATGCTGCTAAATATCCATCCTACAGTGTATAGGACAGCCCCCTACAACAAAGAATTATCTAGCCCAAAATGTCCATAGTGCTCAGGATGAGAAACCCTGACCTAACCAAATCATGTGGCACAGCACCTGGGTCTTGTATACAAATTGCTATTTTACTTTACAACAAAAACTGACTGATACTATTATACTTAAAAATCTTCTTTTTTTTTTTTTTTCTTCAAACCTCAGGTGTATGCTTTGCTATCTCTCTAAATAAAGTAGAAGCATTTTTCTTCACGTATTCATCTCTGTCGTTAAGGCTGGTAAGTACAACTGGAAAAATCTCTGCTTCAACCACCATTTCTGCCAGATCCACAGAATGTTTTGCAATCCGACTGAGAGCTGAAAGGATCTGACGCTGTCAAGCAAAAACTAAAACATTACATAGAGTCCACTGCAGAGATCAGATAGAATTTAAGCAGCTTTATACAATCAAATTCCCTTATAAAAAGAAAAAACAATTACATATGTAACATAACCTAAGATTTCTGAATCTCAAGACATTCATTCACATCTTAGTCTTATACCTAAATACTCAATTTCTTAAATTCCCTAATTTCCAAATTGAACATCTTAGTTTTCTATGGACTATTTAAACCTTTATCACAGATGATCAAAGAATATGACCTTTGGATAAATACTATTTCTTAATTATTTAATGCTTAAGTTGTTTATTTACAATACATTACATGTTGTAATAAGTATAAAAGCAATCAGGCAGAACTAACATCTTATGTTTGACATGAGGCTGATAACATTTCAAAAAACTTTCCATTGCTTAGTTAACATTAACAATATTTAAACCTTATGGGATATAACTATTAGCATATAAAAGTATAATTGATGACTATTAACTGAAAATCAGATTGTAGAAAGCTATAAAAAAAAAGGCAAACATAAATATGACAATTTTCATAAAAAATTTAAATATAATAGTGGTGAGCTAGAAAACCTTTAGGTTCCTTCCCACCTTGAGATTCAATCATTATGTGATTCCTTATTTTAGTGATTAATGTTAATACTGATGCTACTTCTAATTTTTAACATTGAACATGTTTTTCCCAGTGATGTCTTTATTATCTAATCCTTACAGCACAATTTTCACATATTAAAAGACCAAATACATAATATAGTCACATCTGTTTTCAATAATAATTTATAAATTATCTTTGAAAATATATTAATCTATACGCATTTCCATTTTCTTAGATTAACAGAAGTCTGTTTTTTAACTTGTTTTTAAATACCTTCAAGTGGGCATCAGGGTTCAGAATCATCTGGGCTAAGTGAGCAATAGCTCCTGCATCCACTACCGTCTGTGCTAACTCTGGAGAATGCTTTGAAATATCACTGAGGTCGGAAGCAGCAATCCTTTTCAAAGCAATTTCTGGCTCCTGGATACAGAATACTAAAAGAGGAACTGCTCCCGCATCCACCACAGCTTGTGACAGTTCTGTGGGTCCAAGAAAATAATTGAGTGAGTATGGGGGACTGACCCTTGTGCGAGCCATTTTTCACCCTGACAGATACNGTAATTAAGTGAGTATGGGTGACTGACCCTTGTGCAAGCCATTTTTCACCCTGACAGATACAGCAAAGAAAAAAAGGGGAGGGTGTACTTCAGTGTCTCGACATCTGCATTTCAAATCAGCCCTCCTGGTTTCATAAACCATGTGGACCAATCCTGAGCTGAAAAGAATACAGGTCAATAGATGGACCTCCATTTACATGAACACATTTAGGCAGATTAGGCGGAAATGGATTTTTTTTATTAGGAGNGAGGTAGATTAGGCTGAAATGGCTTGTTATTTTCTTTTTTAAGAGAGTAAGCAGATGTCAGCTGTTTAAGCTCTGACAATTCTACACTCCTCAATAGGCAAGCATTTTATGCATGGTTTACAATAACAGAGAAAATTAAAGTACCAAAATTTACCAACCACACTAATTAGGCAGTATTTTGTACTATTTACATGAGTAAACATTAACATGAATCTTGTGCTAATCATTCCGATTTTTAAATTTCATTCATCTTATAATATTTTTAAACAATTTTTAAAAAACATATAAAATAAAAAGATACATTTTTATCGTACATATAAAACACTTTCAAAACGAGTTCTATGACTAAACAGCACACTTTATATCAATGTTAATGTTTAGATAAAGGAATAAATTTATCTTAACCATTTTACTTGCCAGAAACAAACATCTTTAGAATATACACATTGATTTACTTGTGTGTCCAAGAATAACAGCTATAAAAATAACACACTTTAAATTTTAGATAATGAGAGATAAGCAGACCCATATAATATATATGTTTAAAAAAATGTATTTTTGAGAAGCATAAAGCACAATACATAGTTACAAGATTCTACTTTCATTGTATTCATGGCCTCCCTTACTGATCACATATACCCATATCTATAATCTCTTCCTTTCAAATTATGTTCTCATTTTTTCACATTTGTAGTGCCTTGACAATTTTTGTCTTAATAGCCAAGCTATCCATTTAGCATATTATTTAAATTTTTTTAAAGAAAATGTGGTGTTAAATTTTTCAAAAGATGGATAATATCACATTTTCTAAAAGGAAATAATGTTAGAAAATACAGATTAGAGCCCATTACTTGTTTTTCTTAAATTATTACAATTACCTTAGAAGTCCAAATATTGTATAAACAATTCATTCATTCTTTCATTAAACAAGTATTAATGGGAGGTTATTACATGCCAGACGCTTTCAATTCTGGTGCCGATGACCGACTTTTACAAATTAACGCTACATTGATGAGCAAATATGTTTCAATTTTTAAAATCTAGTGTGAAATATGAAATACAATGGGAAGTCAATATGCAATCTCAAAAACCAGAGGCAGATAAGAGAAAAATGGTTTTTGACAACAGCTGCAACAGACTGGAATATCAATCTAGTACTGTAACATTCCCCAGAAATATCTCTGTGATTCTACTGCAATTGCCTGAAGACCAACAAAACAGCAGGTGAAACAGGTGATCACTGTTTCTCTTCCCTCCTACACCACTCAGAGAAAATGGAAAAAAAACATAAAGTGTGATATTATGTGTAATTTCTACATATAATTTTCATATTTTATGTTAAATACTAACATGTTAATTCAGTCCAAATTTTACAGGTGTTGTAATATCAGCTTTATTGTACATATTGAAGGATATATACATACATATATATATGTATGTATATGTAATATAAAATGGGCTGAGCTTTTTTTTCTATAAAGTATAAGGATTAATTCATCTATTTATGTATTTTTACTTTTATAGTTTCTAAGAGTCAAGACTATGCAGTAAACTACAACTGTTTAAAAGTACTATTAATAAAAATTTAAGATTCTTTTTAAAAAACAACATCCATTATCTTTGTAATCTCCACACATTTTTTTCTTTTTTAAAAAATTATTGATTTGAGAGAGAGAGAGAAACATCAATTTATTGTTCCACTTATTTATGCATTCATTGGTCGATTCCTGCATGGGTAGGATCGAACTACAACCTTGGTGTATTGAGCTGACACTAACCAACTGAGCTTGGGCTTATCCTTTTCTTTTTTAATCCTCACTTGAAGACATACATAGAGAGAGGAGGGGAGAGAGGGAGTGAAAAATATCTATGTGAGAGAGAAACATTGATAGGAGGGATCAAACCCACAACCCAGGTATGTGCCCTGACTGGGAATTGAACCGGCCACCCAACCGGCAACCCTTTGGTGCACAGGATGATGCTCAGTCAACTGAGCCACTCCGGCAGAGCCTTATCCTTTTCTTAAATAACAAAGTGCCATGTCCCCTTTCCCTTGGAGTCTATAATGTTAATAATAAAGCAACCTCTGTTCTAACTTGTTACCCAATTCCATTATAAGCTGTTTTCTGTTCTCTCTAGAGTAGTGATGTTAAATGCGGGGAAGTCTGGGAATATCAGTGAAGAAAGATTTGCTATGAAGGTAAAGAAGGATTCAAAGACCTGGATTGGGCCTAGTGATTTTGTACTTGCAATTTCCTATAATTTACATCTCCAAATTTATACCATTCTACAAAACTGACATTGGCAAAATGCACACCCTACTGTATACACAAAATACAGGCCCTTTCAACCTGCCTCCTATCACTACTCTTTCTCCTGTAGCATATCTTTCTGCTCTTCCCTACTATTGTGTCTTCTGGCATTTTGGTACCAGTGATTAACGGTGTCTACCCAACAGCCTTTGTCAGCTAGGGCATGGGCTTGTGAACCAATGCTGGCCAATGGGACCTGAGTAGGAATCAGCTAAAAACATCTGGAAGTATTCCTCAGTCACAGACAGAGACACACAGGAGGAAACACTGCCTTTTTGCTGGACATGGCCATGTCTGCATATGACATCTGTAATTCCTATGTCCATCTTGCAATGATAAGGAAAGAAATGACCAATATGCTGAGGATTACTGAGTACAACAGTGAAAAACATCTGGGTCCTCCATGACACTGCTCAGCTTCATAACCAACCTTGGAGCTGCCCTGACTCTGAACTTTGTGTCCTGTGATATTAAAAAATATCGTTATTGTGTGAGCCACTTGTAGTTGATATTCTGTAACTTACAGCCAAAAGCATCCTGGTGTAATTCTGTCCTCTCTCATGCTTAGTGTATATTATCCCCTCTTCCTTTAGTCATTGAGTGTTCATTAAGTGCTTACTCTGTGCTAGAAACTTAACCAGATATTGGGGAAGCAGAATAATAGAGTAAAACATTGTTCTGTTCTAGAAGACTCTGCCCAGGGTGAATATACAGACCGCTGCAAGTATGGAGCAGAGCTAGGAGTCAAGTTTGTAGAGTGTTTGGAGAAAATGTATACAGGGGTGCCACTTCAGGAAATGCTTCCCACCTCACTTCTTTTTCCCTTTTTCTTTTTTCCTTCACTTTTCTGCTCTAAAAAAAAAAAAAAAAGCAGTGGTAACCAAAACGTACCAAATTCTGGAGAAATTTCACAGAGCTCATTTTTAAACTCTAATCTGGGGATGAGTTTTGGTTCAATTAACTATCATGCTTATGAAATCAAAGGTTAATATGTACAGATTCAGAAGCTCAGAAAGGTGTGACCAAAAAAAAAGAGGAACCAAGAAATTTCTTTCGTATCTGAAAATATCATAGCCTCATTTCAAATTTTAAATGAACCTTCAAAAAAGATTTTTTTTAATCCTCACTTGAGGATATGTTTGATGTGTTTTATTGATTTTAGAGAGAGAGGGAAAGGGAGGAAGGGAGAGAGAAGGGGAGAGAGAGAGAGAGAGAGAGAGAGAGAGAGAAAGATTGATGGATGAGAGAAGCATCATTCAGTTGCCTCCATACTCACCCCCACCAGGGAACAAACCCAAAAGCTAGGTATGTGCCCTGACTGGGAATTGAACTGGCAACCTTTCAGTGCTCAGAATGGCGCTCCAACCAACTGAGCCACACCAGCCAGGGCAAAAGAGATTCTCAAAAAATACACCTTCAATTGTGCAATAACTGACATAATCATATATTATTAATAACAAGCAAGAGTAGTAGTTAGGCAAAGAAAAATGCAGAGAAAAAAGGCTATATGTTATATCAGCATACTTACAGGATTTACACTGGGTTGATGGTACTATTGGTGATATAGTTTTCCTACATGCTAAATTTTCTTCAAAGTAATTACATATTATTTCTTCTTTGATTATTAGAGAGAGAGGAAGGGGGAGAGAGAAACAGAGAGAAACATTGACATGAGCGTGAAAATTGATTGGCTACCTCCTGGAGGAACCCCCACAAAGGATCAAACCTGCAACCAGGCATGTACCCTGACTGAGAATCGAACCAGTGACCTTTTGGTACACAGAATGACACCCAACCAACTGAGCCACACCAGCCAAGGCTGATTACATATTTTTAAAAAATAAAAGATATATGAAGATGTTTTTTGTCCATACATGTAGCTTATTGCTAGGGCTAACTATATTAACATTACTATTGTAAATGACAAATATAAACATTTTAGCTTATTTCTCAATATGGCAGAAAGTTTCTTATTTTAAAAAATGGTGGGAATGTATGTCTCCTTTAAAGAAAATATTAAGAAAGCATGTATATTCTTTGAAGAATTACTAATATACACTAAAAATATTATCCATTTACTTTTTCAAACTTTCCCTCTTTCCTTAATCTATGCCCTTATTAAATTTAAGTTAAAATATTACATTTTTTTAAATGTTAAGTGTTATTAATCACTTTTAACATTTTTAGTTTGCAAATTGTCAGAGAGAATAAACTAAATTCCCCATTCAAAAATAATAATAAAACCCATTTGTTGCATACATTGTAGACAACTAAATATACAGTCTTCAAATTTGATGATCAGCTGTCTTCAGTAGGAATAACTAGTTCTATTGGGCCTCGTGAATAGCTCCGCCACAGGACT